TTACCCAGTATGATTATAGTAATATAATGATAATCAATTTTTCTTTCATTTATAGTCTCAATATGCCAACCACTTTGGTTAATATATTTGAAACTCAAAAAGTTTCATTTGATACTTACTATAATATCAATGTCATGAACAATTTCACTCATCCAGGTAATAACAAATTAGCTCTTTCGAATTTTTTGATTTTGTACTGCAAGATCTTTTGTCACACCATCCATATGGTGAATGTCTCCTTCATGCAGAAAATCATATTATAATAATTGTCATGGTCAAAATCATCATAAACAAAATTATTTCTTGCTTTAATTTTGCCTTTAATAACTTTTTATAAGACATGGCAAAATATTTTCGGCGTACCATATGTACGCGACCAATGACATATTCATGTAACCACACAGTAATGTTCATTATCTTTCTTTCTCTCAAATCTCTCATAGATGTGAGTTGTAGTATTTATTCAATCATGTATAAACACATTCTTATGCATAATTTGTATCACATATATATTTTCACATTCACTTTCAGGAATGAGTTTGCATTTACAATGCTTATCACAAGTCACATTTTCAAAGAATGGACCATAATAATCTGAATGTGCCTCATATTTACTGATCATATTGTTACACATTTCCTTCACTTTTGAAGGATTATTTTGAGAACCCTTATTGTTCTCCTTATTACAATTACCATAATGATGACTATTATTATTTTTGTCTTTGGCACGCCCACATTCATTCGTCAATCACTTGTCTTCATTTAGACTTATTATGCACCGCTACCACATTTACATCAAAAATTGAGCAAATCAAGTGGCACAAGATTCATGTTTTTTTATGAAAAATATATTATTTTTCTTTACTCGTCATTATATCATTGGGACTCAAATTCATTGTCTTACCCATATAAAGGCATGTATTGGGACTCTAACCTAACTCTTATCATGGTGCATCAAGACTCGAACCCGATATCTTACCCACATGGTACGGTGTGGTTAAACTCATTGTCTTACCCTCAACCAACTGCATCATAGCATTTAATCATCATAAGACTTAAAAGTATTATCACTTCCAATGGATATAAGCGTAAACTCTGGTAAATAAAACGTAAGTATCTGCATCAATAAAGGGGAGAACTCATCATAACTTTTAATATTGTAGACACAAAAAGCATAAACAAATTATGTATCATATCTATTAATATTAACTCTAAGGAAAAATATTATATGGCTTATGCAGATAATGACAGCATGCTAAGTGTCTTTGTTTTATTACCATAATGCACCTATACATTAAACTTGGCACTTTGCAATTGAATAGATCATTACTTGAACTTGTTAAAATAGGTCAGTTGGACTTTGAACACCTATTCTAATATATCAAATCAGATATTGAAGAATGATCTATAGCTTGGAAGTGTAAACCACCACACCGAATGCATGTAAGTTTTTTTTAGCATAATCATAAAACTAAAAATCCGTGGATTAGTAAACAAAAAAACAGATAAACAAATAGTTACCTGACGGCCAAAAGGGTATGAGTAGGCCAAGCCGTGAAAGTTAAAGAAATACCTTCCACAACTTGACAAAGAATGAGACATTCGTGCTGATAACGTGTTAAGAAATCAAGCTCAACGTAATAATATAAAACAAGAAAATAGACAAGACATAGAGGGGAAAGAGAGAACTTTCTTATTTCATCAAATTTTTTCAAGTGTTTTCCAAGTGTGTACAATGTGATACCCAAACCCTTTATTTATAAGATGATATTGGGGTAATTCAAAGGGATGTTATGAACATGGTATTAATTATTGAGATCATGGAGAAGGTTATGGGGGTGTGAGAGTTACAACCATAATGATAAGAAGTAGTGGGAGGTTAATGGACAAGAGTAGTGGTAGTAAATTCTTTAGGAGTTATAGACATCCACTATATAATATAATATTTTATAACATATATAATTTTTTTGCCCTTTATATGCCACATCAGCTTTAAAAATGGAACTTTTTATACTTTTAAATTAAATACATATAGAGAGGGGTCATAGGACCCTCACAAAGTACAAGGGTGCAACGGTCAATTAGCTACAATCCCAATAAGATAATTATATATTTTCTCTTTATTGAAACTAAGCACTTTTGGTTTATGTTGTTACTAAAATACGTAATGATGTTATTTTATATGGAATTGGCCCGTGAAAAGCACATGAATAGTTTAAAGTGAAAAAGGACATCATTTCAAATTTATTTTCCTAATTTGTATCTTAAGAAAATTGTTATTGAAGCCAATTGAATACACTATTCACTTCTTTCGACCCTTAATGGTATGGAAATAGCAAATGAATCAATTCCATATCTCCTTCTACCCTAATAACACCTATTTTTATTGAAATCTTCCGGTTAGAAAGAAACATGAATGGGTAGAAGCCTGTTGGATGGATTTTTTTAGTTTCGATGGGGCGCATGCTTTGAGCCAATTCTATCCTATAAACTAGTGTATTTGTCCGCGCTTTAGGCGGCTATAAAAAGAATTAAAGAAATAGTTAAATGGGAATTTCATAAAATTTTCTAATAGAAAATCAACTTTTTTACAAAATCAAAAAATTGAACGAAAAACTACAATTTTGAGCATTCAAGACCATCTTAACAGTAATCGTCTGATGTATTTGAGCAATGTGAGGATGCGTTTTGCGACACTGCTGCTTGCTTGGATGATTTACCCTTCTTAAGAAATGTTGTTAACGGGATAATATTTCAATCATACCTTACTATAGATGAGAACACCTTCAAATAACAAAAAGAAAATGATCAATATTTTATTAAGTTCTAGTTGTCACTGGTACCCTATTTTAGAGTGCCAGCTTGAGAGAAAGATTATGTAAAAATGCATGATTGTGACTTCTTTAGTAAATGGTGATTCAATTAAATTGTTTAAGAGTAGATTAAGACCTCATCTGAAGATGGAAACTTTATCTCTGTATCGGGCTCTTAGTTGAGGCCTCAAAAAAAAGTATAATTAAGTGAACACCATACATCATGTCAGCTACAATAAAAAGCAATGATAAATAATCAAAACTTTTAAATATATGCCGAATATATATAAGGCTCCAAACATAGAATGATGATGATGATGATGATAATAATTTTAAAATTTTATACAATGATTTTTTTAAAAAATATTATAGAAGTTACTACTAACAACATAAGGGTGGACATTTTTCTGTAGCCATTATTTTTTTATATGCTTAGCCCATGTAAAAGGTATTTATTTTATTATATTGTCTGACTTGGTTGTGACGATCTCACATGTCAAGTACTTACTAAGCATGATATATATATATATCTTTTTTTGTATTAGCGTGTGACTGCAATGATCAATAATGTTTGGAAACTGTTGCATTAAAAATATGTAATGTATTTAATAATAGAAAGAGAAATGACCAAACAATAAGGTAGAGAATTTATAAAGCTAATTTAAAATAATAATGAGTATAAAATTATGAAAATTAGAAGGTAGAGAAAGTTTTCTATTTGCTTTCCACTAATTCTAATATCCATTAAAATTTTCTACGTGAAAACTCATGTATAGAGTTCATCAATTAATCCAGTCGTAAGTTTCTTAGGTGCCATTATTCTCTTGCAATTAGTTGATCATATCAACAATTGGTATGAAAACACCATTATTGTCACATATAGAAATTGATCAAAAAGGGAAATATAAGGACAGAAGCTACAACAAAAAGACTAACTTTGAGAAGTAGCTAGTAGTATTTGCTTAGAGCAATGATTTGTTTGCCTACTAACAATTAACAAACGATACCAAAAAAGTTATAATTATCAAAATACTTCTAGAAAAATCAAACTTTATAAGGAAAGAATACTTCTTCAAAATGCTTGCTCCAGAACATTTGTATCATACCTGCAAAACAAAAAAATAAAAAATAATAGGCAATCCAATTCAAGGAAGTAGATGAAACACAATACTCATAACTGATGTGTTTCTATTTCTTCTTTTAATTCAAAATAGGTAATAGCATTATCACAATATATTTTTCTAGAAGAATAAAAAGTTATAAGGAAAACGTGTTTGAGAATAATTTATTCTATCGTCAAAAGAGGAAAGAATACCGTTCTATCCTACAAATAATGAATCAATTATAAGAAGAAAATAAAACACAAATTCAGTACTTACATAAGAAGAATTACAGAAAATAATAATGCAGAATTTTTCATGTAGATTGCTCAAATAAATTTTATTTGTCGAATATCATATATTCTTTACAGTAAGCTTTATGAAGAGGAAATGGGTGAAAGATCAGTTATGAAGAGGAAGAGTGGTATGTTGATTTACTACTTTAATTACCACAATTATATATATAGATTGTTATGACCTTTTATTAACTGGCGTCTGTTGAAATTGCATTAGTTATGAGCATTGATTGTTGCAACCGTTGCACAATTTTTTGAAGAACTTGACTTCAGAAAACAAATAACATGATATTTCGTTAATTTAGTAATGATAGAGTAATGTAATAAAATGAGAGAGAAACCCAATAAACTATGCTGTTAATTTTTTCTTTTGTAACTGAAATAAATATAATGAGATGTAATAAATAGGATAGAGAATGGTCAATTTCCATTTACTAAACANATATGCTAACTGCTCGTTTCCCATGATTCTACACCTACGCCAATAACACAAATATATATATTCATCAATAGATAAACTTTAGACGAACTAATTTACCAAAAAAAAAAAAAAAAAAAAAAAAAAAAAAAAGGAGAAAAAGGATAAATAGGATCATTGTCAAATAGAGGTGCCAAGTCACTTTTTTTTTATAAGTATCGCCGTGTGTTACAAATATAATGGATACCTAAAGTGCTCAATTTTAATAAACATAAGTATTAAAACTGCTCAAATATATATTTTAAAGAATTATTTTAGATCAAAATAAGGAACTCATTTTCTTAAAAAGGAAAAAAAAATACAGAGGGAGTGCTAACATGGAGTATGTTTATTAGGCATGAACAAATGGCCAAAGAGTGAAAAGAAACAAAAGCAAAGAAAAGGAAAGAATCGGTGTCAGAAAAAAATTGACGACCGGGCAAAGAGGAGTGGCCCATATTAGCATCCGTCTCCTTGTTTATCTTATTCATTCATCTGAATCTCTGCGCTCTTCTCTCTTAAGGTAAATCTTTTTTCTCCTTCTCGTTCTGCAATTCGTGATTTTTATTAATTCGAATCCTCATGCCCTGACTTCTCTTCCTTTGTTAGATCTGTTCCCTATTATCATCCTATCGATTCATGCTCCGATTATTTCTTAATTTCTGTCTTTTGTGATTTGATTAATTTCTTGTCGTCGAAGAGGTTTCCACTTTCCAGTATAAATATGTTGTTGAACGGTTATTTTAGGAAAATGCCGTTGCAACGTGAATTTTTAGTAACTGTAATTCCGAAAATGCTAGAAATGTGATGTCCTTCACTTGAGCTCCCATCCTTTCTAATTTATACAAATTTAACAATTGCAAGCTGTAACTGTACTAATTTAACCCCAAAAGTTATAAATTCCCCCCTTTTAATCCTAAGAGAGAATTGGTTGACAAATTGGTATGAGATTTGTCCTAGTCAAATTTCTTATTATCCCTGTCTTTTCTTTAGGGCTGGGTATCGTTAATTCTCTCATTACACCATTAGTACTTAGTAAAGTGCCAGCATGCTGTAATCTAAAATTTATTGATCATGTATGGTTCTGAAATCTATATTGGAACTAAAGCATATGCTTACATAAGCGGACATATTGGGATGTAAGGAAATTGAATTGTCATTTCTGTCGCATCTAGAGATATCAATTTTACAGAATGGCTAAAAGAGTGAAGAGTCTAAGCCAAATTTAACTTAGGCTCAAACCCTTATTTGGTGATGATATTAATAGAAATTTAAATTAGATGTTGAGGGGATTTAGAGGGCTCAAAGCTCTTGGTCTGTATTCTTTTTTTTCTTCTTTTTTATTTGTGTGTTTGAGGGGTTATTGATAGAATTAAGTTTATATTGACATGTATTTTTTTGTCAGATATATAGCTCCAAATTGATCATTTTCAGAAACTCGCAACATTTTACATTCAGATTGGACGATAACAGAGAATGGTCAAAGGGTTAGTTCAATTTGTTTGTTTGTACATATTCTATAATTTCCTCCTGGCACAAATGGCCAGTCAAGATGGTCTCCCACCCTTCCCAGCTTTGATTTTTTTGGGTTGACCAGATATGGAGCATTTTGAAGTAGGGATCATACCATGTTGCAGTGCCTAGACGGTATCAAGCATTTAGGTGCTTCTCTGTCGAAATGTTGTGATCTGGGTAGGCAATCAACGGGCTTTGAAGATCCGGAGATCCTAGCACGAGAAACAGTTTGTATGCTATATGAAAGCTTTGTTAACATCTTAGTTTTGCAATTAGAACGTAAAAAGAAAGATGAACCAAAAACAATTTTTGTCTGGTTACAAGTGTGTCTTTCTGATTGCGTCATATGTAGTCTGTATTTGCATCTTGAAAATTGTATACTAAAAAAAGGTACAAACTTTCTTTATTTCAAAATTTGTTTTGTAGTTTTCTATGTCATATCTGTCAATTTTTTTAAAGTGTTGGCACAAGGATTTGGAATATACAGAGTTGAGATATGCGCATCCTAATCTACTGGTTGTTTATCATATTGACTTTTCTACTAGAATAAATATGGTTTCAACCTGTACAGTCTTATTCTTGCTGCAGTTAGTGTCAGTGAGATCGAAGCTCTTTATGAGCTATTTAAGAAGATCAGCAGCGCAGTGGTTGATGATGGGCTGATCAACAAGGTTTGTGTTTCATCCTTTGTTAAGATTATAACATTGGATATTCTCACTGGTGTGTTTGAGATATAGGTGTTCTAGCAGCATAAGTCTTTTTGGGGTATTATGCATGAATAATCAGTCTTGATTCCAGCAAGGGTCTTTGGATTTTCAAGTTATTACTAAATTGCAGGAAGAATTTCAATTGGCACTATTCAAGACGATAAAAAAGGAAAGCTTGTTTGCCGACAGGGTGCGTTCTTATTGCAAGCTACATTAATGCTTTCATTTTGACTTACCAGAAAAAGTCTTTTCATTTTGAATTGGGGATTACAAATTTTGATAGAGCAAACATTTTTTTCCGTCACTAACCTACACATTTGAAGCTGCAGTTATTTGTTTTTGACAGGTTGACTTTTTACAAGGATGTTTTTCAAATATATCAAATATCATTTTACTTGTTGAAAAATTATTAGCTTGTTAGTTTTGGAGGTTGAATGATAATTACAACCTATCATTTTATTTCTTCCTACTTCGACTCGTCTGATTGCAGGTCTTTGACTTATTTGACACAAAGCACAATGGAATCTTGGGTTTTGAGGAATTTGCTCGTGCCCTCTCTGTTTTTCATCCAAATGCTCCTATTGATGATAAGATTGAGTGTATGTGATATGCTTACATAATAAAAATAGTTTCAATTCGTAATAATGCTGCTTCTAATGGTATTGCTACTGTAGTTTCTTTTCAGCTATACGATCTCAAGCAACAAGGCTTCATTGAGAGGCAAGAGGTAAGTCTATCTTTCATAAGGTGAAGTAATGAAGTACTGAACGTTCCTATATTGTTCTACTTTCTAAATGTCCAGTTTTTAGTTCAGTTGCTCTAGTTAGTGGCAACAAAGCATTCTTGGAAAATAATTTTCTACTTTTTATTGCATTCCTCTAAAGTGCCTGACATAAGTAAAGTATGGTTCCTGTGCAGGTGAAGCAAATGGTGGTTGCTACCCTTGCTGAGTCTGGTATGAACCTATCAGATGATGTCATTGAGAGCATAATTGATAAGGTGCTTCTTCAACCTAAATTTATATACCTTTAATGGTCTATCTTTCATTTGAAGGAGGAGAGCTTCTCATGTTATCATGTACATGAATTCAATAGTGCTTTTGCTTTTTTGTTGTCTCCTTTGCTATCAATTTGTTATAGGTTAGTCCATTTGAATTTTGTCATTTTCTAGGATGATTCTTGGTTACTTAGACCTACAGGGAAAAGAAGCACCCACCAATCCCCTGATGTTTCTTTAAGGATGATGTTTCGATCATAGGCCTACAGGGAAGAGAAGCACCCGAACTCCTAGTTAGAGCCGACTGAAGGCTGAAGCCAACGAAACATGTGTGTTAGCCCCCAAAATTTTGGGTCCCCAATAGACTTATAAGTCATAGGTTGGATTTTCTTTTATAAGATATTGAGTATTTCAAATTAGAAAAGTATTATTTCTTTATTAAAAAAAGGAAAGGTAGCTTCTGGCTTTGTGATTGATGCGACTGTTTGAGCAAAAATTGGAAAGTGAGAACCACTCCCCTAAATTCTTACGCGTGATTTAAACAACTTTTTGGGTTATTTACATTTTGACAAGTGACGACAACATTAGTAGGTTACATACATTATTCTTCTCTTTTTACATTTATCGTAAGAAAATGTGTAATACACTTTTAAATCCCTTTCTTGGTTTCGCCAAGAGACCAGTACTCCATTTTTCTTAATCTTTCTCATAAAAAAACGTGTAGTACACTTTTATACTATCTTCTTGGTTTCTTCGAGATTCCAAGTCTTCAATAAGCTATATTATGCTGTCAAAACTATAGTACTATTGTTTTGTCAAAAACAGGAACGAAAGAGTTTATAGCGCTGCGGTAGCGGAAGCAAAACAAATATGCAGAAGAACATTAACAAAGAATAAAGGATGTAGTGAATTTGAATTACACGGGTTAGAATAATACTAACTCAAATATTTAACCTAACTTGAATGCTTGTTATCACTAGCGATCATTCAAACCCAAAAAAGTCATGGTAGAATCAAAGACAATGTATTAAAGAATATAAACAATCCCAACAAATATAAAAGAACCTATTAATTAATATTCCAAACAAATTCAATCCAGAGAAAGAAATGAAAAAGGAAGGAGAAGAGATGAACTCATATAAAAGATCCTTACCCTAAAGATTCAAGTTGACGTTCAAAAGAATCATGGTATCAATCCTTACACTTATATTCATCAGTATATATTGCCTTTTTAAGTATTTATTATAATTTGAATATGTCAACTAGAATATATGAATATGGTTATACAAAACTCAAAAAAGAAGAAAAGAAGAATTGAAACTTTAACACAGTCCAAGGAACTCCTGATAAATTATTAAATCAGAAAATATGGAAAAATATTATTTGGATGAACAAGTCATTAATTTAGTCGAGTGAGATAATAATAAACTCTAAGTAGAAGAAAAAGTTAGTGAGAAATCTGATTAGGTACTCGAGAAAACCAAGAACTTCTACTAGAATTAAATAATTGCATTCCTAGAACCATAGATTTTCCAACTTTCTCAACAACAAAAAAGATAATCTTAGATTTTCCAATGAGTAATAATTCTAGGATTATGTAATTCCTAGAAATTGAGATTTGCCAAAGAATTTCTTAATTCTAGGAAATGCAATTATATTAATTCATCTCTAAGTTCTTGTTTTTCTTTGAGGATCGATATCAGAATTCTCAGTAACTTCTTCTTAGATTTTATCATGATCTAATTCAAATAGATTAGTAACTTGCTCATCTAAAGAACGTTCTCCCATATTTTTTTTATTTGGTTGTTTATTGTTTGCTAAAAAATTATCAAGTCCCCCTTTTTGGGATTGTATTAAAGTTTCACTTATTCTTTTTTTTTTGTTGGGTTTTTGAATAACCAGATTCAATTTTTCTAGTTGACATATTTAAATTCTAATAAATAATCAAAAAGGCAATATATACTTATGAAATAGAAATAGCAAATTTTAGATTAATAGAATCTGACTTAATATTAAAATAACATTTTGATGCATCAATATACTTGCTGTAATGTTGGAAACTTGAGAAAAAACAAAAAAGGATATGCAATATACTTTATTCAATAGTACTCTTCAACTCTTGTTTTTTATAAAACAATAGTATTCTTTTTTGACAATATAGCTGATGGAAGACTTGGATTCTCGGAGAAACCAAGAAAGAGAGTATAAAAGTGTAGTATACATTTTCTAATGAGAAAGATTAAAAAAGAAGAGTTGGACTCTAGGAGAAACCAAGAAAATGAGTTTAAAAGTGTATTGCATGTTTCTTTTACTAATGAGGAAGGTAAAATAGAGAAGAATAATGTAGATACACCAGCGATGATGTCACATGTCAGAATTTAAATAATCCAAAAAGTTGCGTACATTCACATGTAAAGGGTTTAGAGAAGTGATTCTTATTCCCCAATATTTACTCAAACGGTCACATCCATCAGGATACCAAAGCTTATCTTTCCTTTTTAATAAATTGATCTGTTTTGAAATACTCAATATGTTACTAAAAGCCAAATTAATATAAGTCTATTATTGGTAAAAATTGGGGCCCCCAAAATTTTGGGGCCTAAAGCACATGCTTTATTAGCTCCAGCTAACCCTGAGTAACAGTAAACAAGCTAGTGAAGATAGTAAAGATTGGAGAAATCTTAAGCTAAGCTCAAAGTTCATGAAACAATAAATGAGCATATTACTAATATGATTGAATGAATTGAGTTAGAAATAGATTGCACAAAAATAAAACAATTAGACTTCAAATAAAATATCTGATGTTTTTTATAATTTAAAGTTTAAGATCTCTCATTAAAATTTGGTTTTAGGCCACCAATTTTATTGAGGCGCCCCTATTCCTAGTGCCTGACATAATATGGCAAGGTATTTCTTAAGAGCTGATTATTTTTTATTGTTTGGATAATTAGTTGATGGATAACTGATATAAGAGTTCTGGTGTAGTTGCTTGAAGCTTTTATGATAATTATTATTATACATTATTAGGGGCAATTTAGTAACTTCTTTGGATTTATACAACAATTACACTACTTCTATGCCTCAGTAAATGATGGAACATCTGTGTAATACGATGCGTGATACTAGAGAGAGGTCTTCCTTGTCTTTAAAAATCTTTAAGTGGCAAAATTTTTCAATACATCTCCTCCACTCTCTTCCAACAGCCTTACACGATAACTCAAATGCAAATAATAGATTAGATTACATGGTAATGTAAGTCAAACTCTATCATTTGCTGTTGCAACATGGAGAGGAAAGCTTTATTACAAGCCAGAGGAGAAGGCATTTGATGTTATCTGTATTTATGGACCAGAAAAAGGAAGTCAAAGACAGGGGCAGTAGTTACAGTTCTTGGGGAAGGTGTCCCAATTTCACCAGGTTTACCCTAGAAAAACCAAAACAGTTAAGCCTAATGCTATCAATGAGGGATACTCTATTTTTATAATTGTGCTGGTAGACCTACTTTTATGGGAGGTAATTAGACATGGTTTAAAGGAACAAACGGTGGTAGAACATCGATAGTTTATAGATCCTTGTTCTCAAATATATCGGATGAACCTACAAAAACATCAAGCAAAGTGTGCTAAGAGGGTGCTATCTGACCAGTGCTCCATCTCATTGGAGTGTAGAGACTGGATTAAGTGCAAGTCATATTTCAAATTTGAGAACATGTGGATATGTGCAGAGGCTTGTAGAGGAATGGTAGGATTTTTACTGTTCTAATTGTAATGCAACAACAACCCAGTAGAATCTCACTAGTGGGGTTTGGAGAGGGTAGGGTGTACGCAGACCTTACCCCTACCCCGGAGGGATAGAGAGGCTGTTTCCGGGAGACCCTCGGCTCAGAGACAATAGATTAGTAACAACAGCAGAAACCAGAAAAATAGTATCAGCATCGTAAAAGACAACAAATAAATGTAAAGGCCAAAAAAAAAAACAGTGTGAAACACAACAAAAACCGCTTGCAGTCCTAGACAAAACACTATCAGACTAGCCGGCACAACGAGGAGAAACGCTCGACTACCCCCTAACCTACAACTCTAATGCTCGACCTCCATACCTTCCTATCAAGGGCCATATCCTCGGAAATCTGAAGCCGCGCCATGTTCTGCCTGTTCACCTCGCCCAAATACTTCTTAGGCCGCCCTCTACCTCTTCTCGTACCTGCCAGAGCCAACCGCTCACACCTCCTAACCGGGGCATCTAAGCAGGGGCGGCCCAACCCTAAAGCAAGTTAGGCCCCAAATATTTAAGGGCCCCAAAATTACTAGTATTTCTCTATATATATAGTAGTATATTATTTATATAATTATCTTTTATTATTGATAAATTTATTTCTTTATTGTCATATTAATTTTTAATAACTCGATTTCTTCCTCTAATTAATATAACTAAAATAGTTTTCTTTCAATCTTATTTTACTTTTTTACTTAATTATATTTCTCTATTCATTAGTTGGTCACGTAACTATATCTAATAATCTAACTTATTATTTATTTTCCTTACATAAATTATTCTCTCTCCGTCCCAATTTATATGAAAGTGTTTGCATGGACATGGATTTTATGAAATAAAGGAAGGCTTTTGAAACTTGTAATCTTAAATAAATCATAGAAGTTTTTGGGCTAGAAATCATCTCATTAATGGTAAAAAGAAAAATCTAAAGTTGAATTGTTACCAAATATAGAAAGGGACTTACTAAAAAAAAGGAGTCACTTATGTTTTCTGGGTTCTCCCATTTCAGTTGTGATGCAATCAACGTTAAATTCATTTAATTTTCTATATTTTATAAAACTAAGTTCTCATTTTTTTAATTCCACATCCTCACTTGTCTAATTTTTTTAAAAACGATGTTCATTATATATATTAAGGCCTCTTATTAAGATTTTGCTTTAGGCCTCCGATGAGCTTGGGCCGCCCCTGCATTTAGGCTCCTCCTACGCACGTGCCCGAACCATCTAAGCCTCGCTTCCCTCATCTTGTCGTCCAAGGGAGCTACGCCACCCTCTCCCAAATATCCTCATTCCTAATCTTATCCATCCTAGTGTGCCCGCACATCCATCTCAACATCCTCATTTCTGCTACTTTCATCTTCTGGATATGTGAAATCTTGACTGGCCAACACTCAGCTCCATATAACATGACCGGTCTAACCACCGCTCTATAGAACTTACCTTTAAGTTTCAGTGGCACACTCTTGTCACACAGGACTGCAGACGCTAACCTCCATTTCATCTAATCGTAATGCGACATTCATAATCATAACTTTGATCTCTAAGAAGAACTTAGCTATACGACTAAGAAACTTCAGACCCTTAAGTCTCTTAGGAATTGTATATAAGATCATTACAGATGTGTTCAATGCGAGATTAGAAGCAGTAATTGATAATGAAAATGCTTTTGTACAATGAAGAAAGATCATGGATGCTTTTTTGGTTGCAAATGAAAGCTCGAACACTAGATAAAGACAAGGTGGCAAGAACCCTTTGTAAACCAGATTTGAATATTTAAATCTGTGATTTTTGCTTACTGTTTGAAACTATGAGATTTGTGAGAAAATGAATAAAGTGGATGGAAAGTAGTATCTCATCTCTCCGATTCTCTAGCTTAAAAACCCTCTTTCTTTTGTTATTGGAAGTGGAAGATTAAACAGAGCTGTCTCAGCTGATATACATAAAGACTTCATAGATTTGTACTACAAACCCTTTGAGGCAATATCCACTGCATGTTAATCTAGTAAAAAATTGTCTTTTTCCAGTTAATGAAATGAATATGGAGTAACATACACTCCTTGGCAGAAAATTTTAAGGTCCCAAGTGGAAGAGTTTTCTATTGCATATCTGAGAGCACCCTGAGGGCAAAACACAGAAAATCAGTACTCTGGCAGAATATGGTGGAGAAATGGGAAAAGAGGCTGGTCGCTATAAAAAGCGATACTTATCATTAGGCAGTAGACTAGCTCTTATTGATAGTGTGCTTGATGCGATCCTCGCATGTCTTTACACCCAATCTCTGCAAATATGGTAAAGCAACTAGACAAATTAAGAAAAGACCGAGGGCAACTCAGAAAGGCACGGATTATACCTAGCAAATTGTCCCATAGTAATGTTGCATTAAAGATGGGGTTGTACGGGGGATAAAAATTTGAAGCTGCATAGCATTAGGCTTCTCGTAAAATGGCTATGTTGATTTAACACTGAAAAAGAAGTAATATGGAGGAGTAATTATACCAAGTACAGAATGGAAAACACAATCGAGCTAATAGCAAGGTCCCATGGAATGTCATTCCTGAGGTACATAAGTAGTTACCGAGAGGAAGTCTTTAAAAATGTATAAATGATTGTTAGGAATTAGGATGGAGGCAAAACGGTGAATAGACCCATAGGGAAATAGACCCATAGGGAAAACGGTGAATAGACCCATCGATAGATCAGATTCATCTGAATCAAACTTTTCCTGATTTGCACAGCACAGTACTGAATCAAGAGACAATTGCAGACAAATGAATGAGCGGACACTAAACTCTAGGAGAAATTTTTGAATGGGAGAGAAGAAGAGCACACTTGCTGGAAATGGAGGAGTCACGAACTTGACTGAAACATCATCTTCCTTAATTTGGAGTAGTGCTAAGGATGGTAATTTCTCAACTAAGTCCCAGTATACTTTATTAAGAAGATCATTGAATGTAAAACATAGTTTTCTATGGAAGGTGAATAAATATGCATGACACAAGTTAAAACTTGTCAAAACAAGTCCAGTCCACCAGTCACCTATTTGTACATTGCAATTATGCCTGGGAAATGTGGTTGTGTTCCTGAATGTACTTTGGGTGCAACTTGTGACAAGAGGATGCTGTGAATACTTGGCACGGATAGAGAGTAAAAAAGCAGCTTAGATACATTTGGAACACTTCCCTATGTCATTATAGAGAGACATAAACAGTAGGTGCCTTGAGAATATATAAACAGGCTTGTCTTGTGCTTGTGAAAGTGAGTTTTACAAATGGTGCAATTCAAATATAAAAATGATTTATATATTTTTGGTGCTCTTCTTGAGTTTTTAAGATCTAAGCGAATCAAGGTCCTTTCCTGTACATTTGTTTTTGATAACCGAGAAATCCCCGAGGGCTAGCAGCACACGATTTGAGACTTGGTGGATAACGTGTCTGTCCCTCTATCTTTCTCTACTTAAATACTAGGCTTTTGTTTGCGGCCGGGCCTAAAGCCGTGACATGCGCTTAACCCACACATCATGTGTGGCGTTCTTAGCACTAGACCAAAGCCTTGAGGCTCTACACATGGAGCAATTCAGATATGAACATGATGTAAATATTTTTTGTGCACTAAAAGGATGTAAATATTAGCACCTTCTTGGTCCAGATCTATTAATCACTTTCTTATAAGAAAAAAGAAGGGGTGGAAACCATCTAGATTTAGTTTTTCAAGTAGACCTGATACTAATAGTGAATTTGTAGAACTGGATCTGTACCAACAAATTCCATGTGCAGTAAAAGTAGTTTAGGATCATCAAGGATATCTGTGTTTGGGAATTGCTCATTTATTTGACTGGTATTTCTGTCGATGTCTGAATTGGATATATGCAAATGGATCTGGACGTCGTCGTGTTTCTAGTTCATTCTTCTCCCCCCTGCCCCCTCTTTTATCCCGTGGTAGAGTTTCTCTTGAATTCTACTGTTTAGTTAATGCATATCTTCTTTGTCAGACTTTTGAAGAAGCCGATACTAAACATGACGGAAAGATTGATAAGGAGGAATGGAGCAGTTTGGTCGTGCAACATCCTTCACTTTTGAAGAATATGACTCTCCAATATCTCAAGTGAGTGGCACATTGGATCTTGACATTACTCCACTAATTATCACATTTTCAAATTGTGATATTGTCCATATTATGTTCATGGCATCGATTGGCTCAAAAATCTTCCTCGTTTAAACAGGGACATTACGACTACATTCCCGAGCTTTGTCTTTCATTCCAGAGTTGAGGATACCTGATTTGAGATGGACAGGCGGAAGTTGTTTAGGGAAGTGCTTTTGCTACATTTTTTTTTCTTCTGCCTTCTGGGGAATTGCAATTGCGATACTGTGTTTCGCTCTTCTTCTTTTCCCGTTTCATATTTCAAGATTTTCATGATTTGTTATTCTTTTTGAGTATAGTGGTTCTATACTACCATTCAGTTGTGTTGTGTATGCATCTACTTGGTGAATAGTGCACGTCAGTTTTGTTAAGATTATGTTTAGGGTCATGCAGCTATTTAATACGTGCAAAGCAATCAAGTACTTGCCCAATTAGTATTGTGAAATTACTCAATGGCATATAGCTTAAAATTAGGCTACGAGATCACTTAAACTAGTGTTAGGCAACTATGCGATTTATATATTGTAATTAGGCAAGCAACTTGACATTTATCTATTTATTTTTTGGTGCATCCATTGCTTGGACTATGAATTGTAGCGAGTAACATCTATAAACGCACAAATATACATTTTAACATACTCAACTTCTTAATATTTATGTTGTATTTGTTTAGTATTAAAATCTCTATGATCTTACAGGATGTCTAATTTTTTTACCTGCCAACCAGACATTCAGTTCTAATCCTTGGTACACTGACAAGAAAAAAATGTTGTAATGTCGTGTGTTTTTGTTGTTGCGCAATCTTGGTCATTTTGATGATCCCAAGTTAGAGAGCATGCCTTACTCTAATAGGGGGGCGTAGAGTTTCTAAGTGAAGGCAAGTGTAATTATATATGAAATATCCTAGTTGTCAGTGAACCTGCCAAAAAGTCCTTAAGAAAGCTGACTAAAGGCTATTTCATAACCGACTCTTGTTGCTGAGTCGAGGGGGCATGGCTTGTACCAGGTTCTAAGAGAGTTTTATTTGAGCAAGCGGTCTTTCTATCTTTTTGGGTTGCATGCCCAAGACAATGCTTTTTGTAGATTGAGATGGATTGATCTTCGCTATCGTGCCTCTTCCTTGTACCAGTTGCTGTTGGGGCAGTGCTTAATATGAGTTTTCTCCTGCCCCAGCTTCGAGGTTCCCATCAATTGATTACAAGAGGTTTCTATCATTGAACTTGCTTATGTTTCCCTTTGATCGAGTGCTATTTCTATAAAGAAGATTGAGTAGGAAAATATTGAATTGGCTTCAATCGAGATTGCCTCGACTTTTTAGGCACACGAGAAAGCGGCCTAACATCTTTTCAATTGAAATCCCAATCAAAGATAAGTTCTACCAAAGTTAGAGAGCTTATTGACTGTTTATGTCTAAGCTTATCTGGATTTGCAGCTTCCCTATGTTCAATTTTACCGAAATTTCATCTCAAATTTTGGGAAAATTCTTGCATGATTGCTGTCTCAGCATATAACCATTTCAGCCTTCAAAAAGTTCGTTAATCAACTTAAATTGAAGCTGTCTTGCCCTTTCTTTTTATTTTTATTTGCAAATAAAATGTCAGAAGCTTCGTATTGCAAGCACCGAAAAAATTATGTGGCATTTGCATTTATACCCGCTTTTTGGGTCACGTTTTAACTTATACTCGATTTGCAAAAAAAATTGCAAGCTTACCCACTTTTCGCGTTACTTCAGGCAGACGGGCCTGAAGTAGCAAAAAATTTTGCCTGAAGTGTAGCAAAACTTTAGATATTTTTGCATGAAATTTGGCATGACTTGCAAAGGCAATCACGCAAACTTCAGTTCATAGTGCAAATGGCAAAACTTCAGTTCAATAAAACAACATGAACTTAAGCATTCTAGTAGCGGAAGTTGTGTTCTGTAGTTGCTGAACTTCAGCATGTTTTAGCTGAAGCTGTCCTGTATTTGCTGAACTTCAGCATGTTTTAGCTGAAGCTTTGTTATGTTTGTGATGAACTTCAGGGCTGAAATTTGTTTTGTATTTGCTGAACTTCAGCATTCTAGGGGCTGAAGTTTTTGTTTATATTTGCTGAACTTCAGCATTCTTAGAGCTGAAGTTCTAAAACAACAATGACAAGTTGTCATTAAGATCCAGTTGGTAACTACTATTTATTATATATTTTAGCCTTAAAATAATGGAATTATCAGGAAATTTGAAAAGCAACACTCATATAAAACAAGACCATTAGTAAAATCACAGGGAATCAATTCGTGCTTTCGTGTTTCGGTAGCAATTAAAATTAGAATTCTTCAGCATTCAGAAAACGAAGGAGGAGCTGAAGTTGTTTAAACAGTGGGTACAAGTTAAAACTTTTTAAAAAAATGGGTATAGGTTAAATGGGGGCGACCAAATAGGTGCCCGTGCAATTTTTACAAAAATTAATCAGTAGCTTTTGTTTTTTGAAAACTCGGATGAGCTTCCAAATACTCTTTTTTACAATTTTAACTTCAAATACTTGTCACACCTCCTTTTTCCACAGGGAATGGTGCCAAAGGAGTTTTTCCAATTTAAGTGACATTAATCGAAATGGGATTATTTATT